GATTACTGATAGTTACCCACCATCTGTTTTTCAAGGCAGTTTCTTCAATGCACAACCATGCTTTGGAATCAACTTTTAGCAGCAGTACTTACGAACCGATATGACATCGCAACCTTCAAGTAAAGAGAATGTGTCATAAAAAAAAATATTGCTTTCCTAGGTGTTTAAAATATTCGGCGATGAGCGCCGACAAATTATATTCATATTAATATTATGTAGTATTATTTTATCTGATCATAATTACACTAATCACAAATAGTAACAACTACATCAATAGCAACTTTTTATAGACTTATACATTTTAATGGTAAGAGAATGAAACAAATGAGTTTCGACAATAATATATAATCTTACTTATGTACATATATCGAAAAAAGTATTTAAAGTGCAGATAAATAGTGACATCTAATGACAAAATATTTTCAGAGTCGTGCAAAGCTTGAATCTATTATAAAATAACGAAGTTTCCGATACTGAATCGAAAAATAGTGTTATGTTGCAAAGAATCGGGAGAATCGCACGAGATTATCTCACGAATGGCTAGAATAGGAATTTACTATGCATGAAACGGAATCGTGGAATTTATCTATATAAATTGAAGAAATAAAACCAGTCTTATATCAAGAAACATGAATACATATACAATTTTAAATTATTGTAAGAATATTTTAAGGTTGGCTTACAATATGAATCCATGTTATAGGTTAATTGGATTTCCTTACATTTGGCTAAGCGTATTGAAGACCAATATACCAGTAAGGAACAGATAATCACTGCTGTCGCAAAGATTAACTCGATTTGATAAAGGGTTGACTATTGTCGAAGAGTTAGTTGGCAAGATAAAATGATACCTGAACGATTTTACTATTATAACCGTTCATCAGAACTATAACTTTTTTCTCTTTAGATCTTCCCAAGTTAGGGTAATAAAACAGTGGATCCTGACATTCTTGGTTAACAGGTAACTTAATCAGTTAATTAAGTTGTATAATAAGGTAAAAGCCTTAATATGTATATTCATTACAGTTAAACTTAAAACGGTATGGTTTACAGGAAACCGTAATTTGTTCATAAACAATTTGGATGCGGTTTGGGGCCTTGTACTTGAAAATTTATTCTGTGGTTTAAATAGATTTCGACATTTTGTTAATTGATTTCAATTTACCAATAGTTAGTTTGTAATTGTAGTTAACTATACTTGATTATACTTAAGAACCATTATGGAAACTATTGAGAATAACCATAAGTAACTGTGTATAAATTAAAAATAAGAATTATATTATTTATTACAATAATTAAAAAAATCATTAAATTAATAATTATAATAATGAATCAATTTTGTCTTAGCAACTAAATTCAACATTACTTTATTTCTATGGGTATTATTTTTTTATATAATGGTAATTTTATCCATAACTTTATTGTCTTGATTGGGGCACGTTAATAAACCGGGGCAAAACTAACCTATATCCGTTTTCATCGTAAATGCTATATGTATACCCAATACCCATTTCATAACCACTGATTGAACCATTAAGGCATTAATAGATAACAAACAAATATACTCACTTTTAGATTTATAAAATTACAAGACTTTACCCACGGCTTCGTTCGCTCAACTGAGTTATATTGATTGATCAGGATAAAAGCAACCTACCCTCTTCTTCATCCCAAAAAAATATATGTATACTAAATTTAACGACAATTAGGCGTTGAGATAATAAACAAACTAACTTTCACATTTATAATATTAGTAAGGATTGAATATAGAATATAGTTTCAACTTAAGTTACGTATAGTCACTGTTAAGCTCTTGTAACCTAATTATTAATCAATACATTGTATGATGTATTGACGATGTATTGATTTCGGATTCTAGTAACATAATATTAATATAGGTATAACATGGATCTTTTATGTTATGTATATAAGATATATATGCAATAAAAAATAATTTTATAATCTGGCATTTAAGCATGAAAGAAGACGATGCATGAGATGTAAATAAGGGTACACAAAAGACTTGGCATGATGTGATAATGGTATAGTCGTAGTTAATAAGTATTTAATATATTTATTTTGTAAGTATTTTTTCTTTAAAATTTTACGGGAAAACTTGTCATCTTCATGGTCAATCTTATGAAGAGTTAGATTATCTTGTTTTTAATTGAAAATAGTTAGTACCTCACTTGATTATTCTAAAACATATTATTATTTTGTTTTGATATTTTCTAAAATATAGAAGAAATTATATTAAATCGAAAAATGTAAAAGCTATCCACCGACGACAATATACATATTTCATAGGGGTATAAATTATTAAATTGATACATTACACGCAGCGAGTCAAGAATTTTAGGTCAGTGAAAATGTGAAAAATTTATTTAATCCGTGCTTCGCATTAGGCGAATTGGACGAGAATATTCGGCGTGCCGAATTCCCGCACGGTGCCATTAATCGTTTTGATGTCACAGTATGGGACATTTAGTGTGACCCTTTTTATGCGCCAAACCTTGTCCGATTTACGTCCCTAATCGCCAAATACCGAATGCCGAAAACCGAATCGGGGTGTTCATCGGTTGGCCGCATTTAAATGGCAGATACTAATCGCCGCCTGTTCATTGTGGAGGGCCGTACAAATAACGCTTTAGAACATAATCATTTGTATGCATTAATGTACGCATCATCTATTACTACATCTAAATTTATTGTTTTTGCGATGGGTGATCGGTAAAATCGTATAGAAAATAACACATTATAATTAAGTAAAAAATCAATAATAAAATATCATAGTCACAGATGCTCAAATCTACAAATAGATGGTTTTAAACCTCTCGACCGGTACAAGAAACGCTGAGCGAATCGTGAACGAAGGCATGTGAGCCAATGCTTTGTCTGAGGAAGATGCACAAGATCGGGCTAAGTGGAACAGAAACAACGGGAAAGCTGACCCTGGCTATAGCCGGCATTAAAATTAGGTCAAAGAAAAAGATTGATTTATACAGATGTTTTACAAATTTTACACACCAAGTTAAATTCCTGTCCGTTATATTAAAAATGCTTCGAATGAAATTTTGCCAAAAGAGATGATCTTGAATGTTATTAAGGATTAATAAAGAATATGATGTATCATCAATGATTTTATATATATTTTAATGAAATAAATACAAATTTAGTTAGAAATAACTAAATTTATATTTATTTCACTAAATGTACAAAGTATGAAGTTATTTATTAATATAATATAAGAATTTTATTTTAAACTTTGATACCGACTTGAACATTTACAACCAATATATTAAAACTATTCGCAAAGCAAATTAATCTTCGTCAAATAATGTAATGTTAATTACATTTACATTATTTAATACGAAACTAACCTGAATCTTCGACTTTGCTTAATGTTTATATTTAATATATTATATTGTAACATTATAAACTCTTTATTTATCCATACGTAAGTATTCTATACGAAGCTTTTTAATAGTCATTGTGAATACAGCCATAATTGGCACAAATAGAAAAATTGTTTAATAAAACCTCAAAGCAATAATATTCAGGGCTGTCAGCAATTTAGCAGTTTTGTTTGTGCAAACCTGACCCAATTTGTCCAATTTAAAATGGCAATTCGACCGGTATTTCTTCTAATTGCATTTGGTTACCGCTGAGAATAAAGCTGATACGACTATTTGCAATATTCGAGATATGTCCGTTAATCGAATTGTTTATCAGTTCAGAAATACATATTGACTGACTTTTAACTCTATTTGTCCATTTTACCTGATATGTATACTGATGGTGTTACGGTAAAATATTCATATTGAATTAATTATAGAGAGAGTTGAAACTCAGATAGATAGAATTTCGCTGTAACGTAAATTTTACGAGAAATTGTAATATTTTTTATTCTATTGTATAATGGATATGCTGACTGATCATATTATATCGTCCCACACAAAAAAAAATTATGACATTACGGTTATTTCGGTTACGCGTGTTACGAAATTACGTCTTATATGTTTCCAACATATTGGTATTTGATAATTTTAAGAAAATATACATACATATAATTATGTACTTGTATATATACTGATGTATTCATTGAAACAATAAAAGGAACAGATTGTTACCTGCTAGTACTTATAATATTAATGGCCAGTATGCGAACATAATAAATGTTTATTTTGAAAAAAAAAATACTACAGTACTCGTGGGCCCCTTAATTAACATCACTTCACATAAAGTCTGAATGATTTCTGTGTGAATCGCCTGGTCTATTATGAAAAGTAGTTTCGAAATTGCGAACTCAATTCCCCAGTATATTTTATTTTATATAGTGATCTTAACATATTATCCATAAGAAAACGCTCATATAAAATATTTTGTTCGACTCCAAAAATACGGATAACATTAATATGTGTGTGACTGCCAAAATCGTTCAGCGTCAAGACTGCGAAGAAGAAAAAGTTTTGCAGTCTAAGTATCAAATGCCTCCAACTTACAGAAGAAAAAGATTTCATCGGATGACCACAGAGTGTTTGTGTTCAGAGATTTAGGCTCTAATGTTTCTCTCTTTAAATTAAATCATTTTAATATTATTCCGTTTTATTATATCTATTATTCCTTTTTATATGTGTTATTGTACTGATACTTTCCTGGGTGAGTGTATTGGGAGACTATAAAGCTTATCCAATTGATGAAATAAATATATAAATTACTAGACTCCGAACAGGGATATATTAATTTGCCTTAAGATGCCTCGCTTAGAGGTGAAATACATATCGCAACATTTGTGTGAATTGAAAAACGGTCGAAGATTGATGACTGATATAAAAGGTCGTAGAACTTCTACTAACAATAATTATAATAGTAGCGAAATGAAACAAAATAATTTCAATCGATTAACCAGTGATATAGACCACTGTAAAATAACACCTAGTTCAGTAAAATATTTATAAAGTAAGTTTTTAAGTATTTGAAAAATGTATTATTTATTTCAGGTCACCTCCAAGGGTCAGGATATAGTGAACCAGAGCCAGAGTTCCTGTCGCCCTTGGAAAATCTGACAGTGGCCATGGGAAGAGATGTGCACTTTACTTGCATTGTGAATCATCTTGGCACATATAAGGTACAGGATTTTTATAATTTAATAAAAACTATTATTAAATATTTATTTGTAACGTAAAGTAACAAAATAGTTTTCTGAAGCAGTCATATAATTTTTTACCTATTTTGTGGTATATATTTTCTAAAAATTGCTGAGAATATACAATATTTTACAATTTTAGTTACAATATTTTAAGAATTAAAATTAAAATAACATTATTATTGATACATAACTGACCGACAATAAAAACTTTGTATTAAAATTTTAAATTTCACTTAATTATCCATTAAAGGAGGATACTATCAGTAAACTAAACTAATCCAAGTAAGGCTTATCTCTTGTTACATTTGAATTAAATATGTCGGTGAAATGTCGTAGGTTATATTCAACACAATGGTAAATCAGAGGCATTTGTCGTAAAAATTTCCATTAGAAATTATAGTTGAAAGTATAATTATTCACTTGTTCATTATTATACCTAATTTTTTTCTATATTTGGCATGTAACTTGACAAGAATGCCTTGAAAAATAGTAAGTTAAGCACCCAGGCAATCATAACATCACCTAATGTCCCATAAAGTTATTTTTACTATTAAAGTGTGTTGTTCTTTTCTTTTGTATTGTATTCTTAATAAAAAAAACTGTAACGTAACAATTTAAAAATTAAAACAAAGTAATTATATTCTACTATAAATCGTGTGAGATTTAGTTTTAATGAATAATGAGGTTAACCAGTAATTTCTTAATGAACATTTTGTTTAACGCAAAATAATGGTTCAACCAGGTGGCATGGATAAAATCTGACACGAAGATGATCCTCGCCATACACACGCATATGGTCAACTTGAACCCTCGTCTGTCTGTCACACACAACGGCCACAACACTTGGAAACTGTACATCAGTAACGTGGAACCAAAGGACTCCGGTTCTTATATGTGCCAAGTCAACACGGACCCTATGATGAGCCAGGTAAGTGTTAATTTAGCTTGTACTAAATCACGTTTTGTGTCATAAGTTTTAAACCTATTCAGTATGAATATAATAACCAGCTTTTATACCCAGATTAACATGTATAGAGACATCTTTCATAAAGTTTATATTCTTCATTATGTATTCATATATAATTAAATTATGTTTAACAATAACAGATGAAAATTATACACATTTAATTATCAAAATTAAATAAAAGTATATAAAACAAATTTCTACAAAGAACAATAAAAGAACCACCTAACTATAATTACAATAAAACCCACTGATATTAATAATAACAATTATTCTTATAGTGTTAGAGTACTCATTTGAGTTCATTTTAACATAATTGAAATCTTATAGGTATTCCAAATATTTTAAATACAGTTTAAAGAAGTATTTTTAATAAAATAAATGCATAACAGCAATGTATTTTAAATGAGCACAATGACTAGTTGGATTGTGAATTGTACATTCTTTTACAAAGCGATTTTGTATGTTATGCTCGTTTGTATGCATAACTTTGTAGCTAGTTTAGCTTGAATTTCGTATTAAATTATACGTACATATCCAACCTAACAATGAGAAGTTTTTAAATATATCACAATTTTTTTTTAGAATTTTATACTTATGGATTTTGATTATAATATTGAGATACTCTACATTACACTTAAAAAAAATCCTTCTAGAATATAATATAGTGTCCAAAAGCAAAATATTAGAAGCCTACCTGAAGCCGAAATCGTCAATTTAATATTACTTAATTTATGGCTCGGATCTACATGCTTTTGATTTTTTTATGCATCTTAGAATGGCAAACAAGATGACGACCCACCTAATGGAAAATGGTAAATGGAAATTTTTATCTCAAAGTCATATTTGAAATGATAAGTGAAGTCTTCCTGAAAGAGACTGGGAATGGCCATACTATATAGAATAGTAGGTGTTTATATATTGTTTACTTGACTCCCAGTTGTTCATTGTTATTTTTCTTTTGTTACTAAATACATTAGTATGCTTATTAGATGAGTGATGTGATTGTTTGATAAACACAAGTCCTTTTTTTATTTATATATTTATATTTCTGTTAAGAACATTATACAAATGAAATTCGAAATACATACAAATAATAGTACATAAAATTTTGCAATAAATAAATCAATTCTGCTGTACAATTCCGAGATTCGATATAAATAATTATAATGTTGTCTTAATTAAACATGTGACATATTACCATATTGAATTTAAAGCTATAACAAACGCGCCATAGAACATGCATTATCATTTTACAATTAAGCTGTCATTATAATAATGTGTATTAGTCGTGACATTAATGATGATTACCATTTATTACTTGGCAGCATTCTGAAATCCCATAAGGGTAATTAAAACGTGGTCGATAAATCAGCAAATTACGGAACGATTATTATTACCTGTCTGGTTATGTTTGGAGTGCACTTTATGGTTCTGACAATTGTCAGAATCACTGTGTATGGGATTTGTAGTAAACATTTGTAAAAGTTAGACAATGTCTTGTTACTTCATGTAATCTATATCTGCGTAATAGTTACAATTTGAAATACAACGAAGTAATATTTTTAGTTTGTTTTATCACCACAAAAATTAACATTTTATGGTGGTTGCTTTTTAACACATGAAAATGAAAGAGTAACCCCATATGCAGTATTAACTTATATTAATAGAGTACCAGTGGGACCAGCAGGCGGTAATGAAGTTTGGTTTGTTAGCCTATGTTGACTAATTCAATAGGAATTGAAAAGACATGGAGGTCGACTTTACTAATGTGTTTATTGCTAACAATGGGTTTAGTTACCAATAGTTACCGGGTCGGTTCTCTGTCGGACTATTGATCAACTGGATTTTTCTGAATTGACTCAAACTCCCTAGATAACTAGTAAACGAATCCAACGAATCCATCATTAAAATCATTTCGGTTGAATAAACAAGACATCGGACAGCGTTATATAATTCTAGCTCACGGAATTGCTAACGATAAGGATCACATCAATGGATTTGTTTGCCAGTTATATAGGGGCCTGGTTTGGTATTAAAACAGTAACAATTTCAGGTACCTGCATTCCTAGTTTAACTAGGACCGAAGTTAGGTCAGACAAATTATGAATATGCCATTCATACTTAATTACTTATTAAGAAAGCGAATACCTCAAAAAAAAAAACAATTAGTTGATATTTAACACCATGTTCTTAATGAGAAACATAATGTATAGTATACAGTAATAAAGAGAATCTCATTTCATACACTATTTATGTCTATAGACGATGATTATTAGTACCCATTAGAAAGACCGCTAATATTTCCATTCCAAATCATATACATAAATTAAATTTTACTCAAACAGCTTATGTATAATTATTGCAAATTGGAGGATTGGTTTCCATATCGAACTGTAGTCATAGACGGTTTGAGGACGATGCTACGCCATGTCCGATATTAAAATTTATGCAATCGATACCGCGGCAGCTTGCATCAAAAGCTGCAGTCTGTATCACGCGCCAAACGTTCTGAATATATTGAATAGCGTTTACATGATTTATGTCGGATTATAGCATTATAGGAAACATAATATTATAATAAAGTAGCCGTGGTCGCGATGTAGTACGCAAATTTTGGTATTTTCACATGGTAAAGAGATATTTTGATTCAACTGGCGAGGTACCATTTAATCTCTTATCTATTTCTCCAAATAACAATACTGTTGCAAATTTTCTTCGTCATTCGTTGTCATCTCTCTTCTTCGTCGTTAGTTATTTTATTTATTTAAGGCAAACATTAAATACATACATACAAATGTACAATCCATAATATCGCTTACAAATATATTAATATATTTTGATCCGAAAGGTATAAAGCAATCAGTAAAATAAATATTACTCTTTCATTCTCATCAATAATATATCTGTATCACTATAATCTGCAATCATCAGTTTTATTCACGTCAGTAGAAGATGCTCTTTACGTATATTAGATGCAAATTTCTTACCATTTGGCATCATTGTTAATCCATTATTATTTTCATTTTCTCATCCTTCGTGTGTTTTTTTAATCGATCGCTGAAAAGGAAAATAATGTTTATTAAGTATTTTTGTAAAATACACAATGTGTCAAAATTTTTAGCACGAAGTATGTTGATGGATTTTTGGACATAATTGAATACCGTTAGATTCATTTAAATTGTGAAAGTATTACACGCTAGGTAATACTTATACAAGTGGGGACAATACAAATTAATTATTCCAGTCATAATTATTTAAAACTTATTTCAAAAACTTCTTTCCTTTAAAATTTGATTTCAGATATAATTTACGATAAATAACTCATAGTAGAATCGAATCTAAACTTTATTCCTTTACCATACACTGATGATATTTAGATAGCAGCTTCGCACAACAAAGGTGCACTCCAAAGTTTACGACTCGTAAATACCAGTCAAAATAGAAGCGGTGACACTTATTAAGTTATTTACATCGTGGCTCCTGGACTAGAAATGGCGGTGTGGTTCCCGGTCGGAATTTTGTCAAGTCGCCCATGGAATGCACCCGTTTACCAAACGCTGTGTGGGAAGGGTGGAATCTCACCGCAACATCTTCATGCGACAGAGTCAACTTTCCAAATGTTTAGCGTGACAATTGTTTACATTTACTGTTGCTTTTGCACCTAACAAAAGTACGTCTTTGCGGCATTGTTTTTGAAAGCTCAGCATTTATAGAATAGTACACAGGTATCTACTTACAAGTTCTTTGAAATATAAAGCCTTTATGTAACCGTACAGGCGTGTTTAATGTGATTATGTATTTATTTACTTACAAATTCATATAAGGCTCTATCTGACAGTGCCTATATGTAGGCACTTCGAAAACTATTTGAAAAATAGTCCTTATGATTATGATTATTATGTTACTGACTGTTTCCTGCGGCTTTGCCCGTGTACATCAATATATAAAATACCTTATTTATTAAATCAGAATATATTTACCAGTGTACTAAACTACATTCAAATCTCTTTTGCCGTTTAAGCGCGATTCAGTAATAAACATTTAAACATCCAAATATCGAAATATATTTATAAACTTTTACATTTACTAATATTATATTAACATAATTTTAATTATTAATAGATACTCTGTTACTAATAAATTTCGCCGTGTGAACCCGGCATAGAATAAGCTACCCCTTTCTTTCCCGTGGGTGTCGTAAGAGCCGACTAAGGAAACTTAATGATCGAGGAACAGGCAGCAGCGTCTCGTTTAAAACATCAGTCTAACTGCGGTTGCCATCACGCCTGTTATGCGTGACAACTACTGGCAAACCTCCCTAATAGAGGGAGGCCTTTGTTCAGCAGTGGACAGTCAACGGCTGATATGCTATGGTATAATTCTGTTAAAATATACTTTTTTATTTGTACACGCGATCGGTTTTGAAATATTACCCTTTGGCGTATTTATAAATACAACAAAAGATCAATAGGGAGAGAAATGAGAGGAAGGAGGAAACTTTTGTAAGTTATAATATACAAAGAATATAGTAAAAAGAACTCTTATATTACATGAAAAAGAAACATCATAAAATATAAGAAAATAAGAGTAATATTGTTTGCCACAATAATAATAAGAATTTACAAATTAAGAAAGTTAAATATAATTATGTAGATTATTCTACATACATTCTAAGCATTATCAAAAAACAAAATATATGTATATATTGTGAGTCAATATAATTATAAAGACAATTTATATAAATTTCATATAAAAATAAATAGAATTAAATACAAATATACAAAATGATAGGTAAAATGTAAATATACCTAAATTGATTTTATAGTAGTACCTATAGAATAAATTACGAATGAATATTGAAATTTCAGAGTAAAACGGATTATAAATAAATTATATATTTTTCTTATTCTATTTTCTCGCAAACAAAAAGGATGAGGTTTTCAATTTGCCTGTATTTTTTG